TATTTGACATTTTAAAGACACTGTTAAATCATCATCTCTTGCAGTATTTCTACCCTGCATCCTTTCTGGAATCAACAACTTTCTATTCTAAGAAAGTACATTTTTCCGCAAAAGCTCTTGCTGTTGTGATACTCTTTTCATAGCAGTTCCAGAGAGCACCTCTACAAATCTCTTTCTGCTTTTCTACTGGAGACAGATCCTGTTTTATAAGCTAAAATCCCTGGTGGGTTTGTTACGTGAGAAATGGTGCAGCTTGTCTCTTCTGTATTCTGCGCTGAAAGCACTCTATTAACATTCAAAAAGGTCACTGAAGGTAAATTCAAAGATGAGACAGATTTTTGAGAGGGTTGCTCTCATGAATGAGGTTGACCCAAAGGGACAAAATACTTCAACTTGTTGCCACCATCTTTTCTTCATCCTTCAAGATGTTCACAATTTTGCTTTTTTTTTTTTAAGAGAGAGAGAGAGATTCCCAACACAAACTCTTGGGTTGATTCCCAGTTCGATTAGGTTACCGGTTACGATGGAGTCACATAACGTGAACACAACTTGACAGAGTACTTAATTACAAATGTTTCTGTCTTCTACAGGTGATTGATTATGCTTTTGTAATCTAACATGACAGTTTTGCCCTTTATATATGCAAGTCCTGTTTGTGTCCTGTCACTGTGTATCTATATCATGGTGTGTCTGCAATGACTATTGTTTATCTTGTTAATTTGAAGCTGTCTGTTAAGGGATGATACATTGTCATAGCCTTCTCTTTCTAACAGAAACTGTCAAAGTATTTTTCCTTAATCAAATAAATATTCTCCCTTTACTCTTATCTACACTGAGTAGACTAATTGAAATCAATTGGATTATTTGAGAAGTTAAGGTATGACTCTGCCTAAGTAAGTGTATCATGTTTTAGCCCTTGGAAGCTTGCATTTGAATTTGGTTTCTTTATAAATATTTTTTTCTCCATTGCATGTAAACTGTACACAGTGTTGTGTTATTACATGAGTCCATTATGTGAGCAAGGCTACTAGAATCTTTAAAAAATATAAAGGTAAAAAACGAAACTTTGGCATGAAGCCCCTTCTTCCAACAGCATTGCCAAAAAAACACAACAGCAACAAAAAACACAAAAAGCCTGAAATTGCAATTATCAACTTTGCCAGTTGCCTCCATATCATTAAAAATTACAACCAATTTATATCACATCAGATCTGCAACAGCATTTTGTTTCAGCATTAGCCCTCTTCAGACGAAATTACAAATGCAATCTCATTCCTTATGTATAATGGTTTTATGATGCGGACAAACATCCATTACGGAATAGATTGAAACCAATTTTATACTGCAGTTCTACTCTGACCTGTTCAGCAGAGGATCATGAGGTTTAAAGGCTATTGAAAATTTTTGCACTGGAGAACTTCTCCGTTGGAAAATGCTGATTTGATGGAATCAAAATGTTCATTCTGTCAATTCTGTCAATTTTTGACAAAACCAGGCCAGTTTCCAGAGAGCCCGCCTGTCTCTCCATTTGCTCCTGGATCCTCTACTCCCCAGCAGGTTGGCTGGCAAGCTCCCCAGCCCCCTAACTTTCAAGCTGACTGCTGACCTTGCCAGCCCCCTGCATTTTTCAAAAATAGTCCATTTTGATTGTTCTGAAACAAGAGAGTTTTTTTAGAATTCCTTTTGGTGGAAACATTGTTTTGAACTCAAATGAAAACCAAAATTTCCACATCTAGTGAAAAGAAATTCCCATTTTCCAACCAGCTCTAGCTATTGAGTTTCACTGATTCATTATCAGATTTGATCCCCTTAGATCTTAAGTGCCAGTCAAGCTAGATTCCTGAGTGCTTGTGCACCATCTCAAGATAAGGCCCGACTGAACCAGCATTGCCAACTCTCTTGATTTAATTACGAATCTGATGATATTTGGTGTTTTTCCTAAAGCTCCTGGAGTCACAAAACCTGAAATTTCTCAGTCACATTTAAAAAAATAAAGTTTCTAGCCCTCATGGTTGTGGATAAAAAAAGCTCGAAAACATGAACCAGAAGGCAAATAAAAAGAAGCCAACATTTATTTATATATTCACTAGGATTGCAAGATCAAGGCCTTATAAAGGTATCACTCCATAGAATCCCATCTAAGTTAAAATTACTGGCAACCATTAACTGAAATTCTGCTTTAGAAAACATTTACTTCATGTATTCTGTAAAAAAAGAACAGAGAGGCTGCAGTGTTTTCAGTATCCTTACAGTGACAAATTTGTTACATTGTATTTATTATTTCATATCTTTTTGGTATTGTTCCTAGAGCTAATATAACTGGTTATTTATACACAAAGAAAATCAATAAGTAAAAAGTTGTCATTTAAGAGAGTTCCATGTTAGTCTAATTCAATGGTTAATTTGAGATAAATTAATAATTTAAAATTAGAAAGTGACTCTGGGCAAATAAAACATGGTTTAACACAATTTATAAAGATGTTACAACAAGATGCATGCAACATACTGTACTGCATACTGAAATGGATACTGCTCATTTAGCAAAAATGCTGAAAACCTTTATCTCTTTTGAGTTTGCTGATGAATCAGTTTCCGGCAAGAGTGTACAGGCAAACAATAAAAGGCATCTGCAAATTAGAACAAATATTTTAACTACACATATAAAATGACCATGAAATTGCATCAAACTGTCATACAGCCGTGTAGAAGTGCAACAATATCAAATGTCATTCCATTTTACAACAGCAAATCTCAAATTCTGAGAAACTGAATAAAAAAGCCCTCATGGAAAAAAAAATCCTGTCTTCAGGTACCGATAACATTGACAAACCTTTGAATAACAACAGCAGGGAGAAGTGCCGTAGTTAGTGAAGAATGAACTTTTATAACTGTCCATTTCATTTAAGTTTAGCAGCACTGTATAGTATAGGAACATGTTTTAGATGGAGATATTTGATACTAATGACAAAAACATGAGGCAGCCAACATCTTACTAGAATCTTGACACACACACCCACACCCACACACCACCCCTCCTTTCTTTTTCAAATATTGTAGTAGAGTTTTAATTGTAAACACTAGGCCCCATGCTACAGTGTATCTAATGATGGAAGAAAATACATATTAAACTCTACAATTTCAAAAATAGTGCATGCAAAAATCCTGGTTACTAACAGCAGAACTTGAATATAAACCTTTGAACAGCAATCTGTAAGGAAAATAACTTTGAAAACCAGTTAGCTTGTTTTCTTTCTCATCTGTTAAATGGTGCATTTGCCCTACAATAAGGGGGCTGCCTTGAATATTTTAGAAAAGTAGTCCTGGAAAGTAACAAATAAGAACTAAGTAATCAAAATATAACATCACCAACAAAATTGCCAGAAACAAGTACATTTTAGTGCAAAGGCACTTTGCAATACCTTTGAATGACGACTCACATTTGAAAGATGTGAGTTAGGAAAATACTGACTATAAATTGTGAAATTTAGGCCCACTTCATGGAAGATAAAAGGGAGGAGCAGAGCTTATTTTGTGGAGTTTGTTTTCCTTATGTAAATTGTTTTGTAAATTCAAAGAAAAATATTCAATTTCTGCTCTCATTTGGGGGGATTTAAATTTTTATAGATTTCGAGAGACAACAACCTGATCTTCCTATACAAGAAATGTTCAAAAGAGACAGGTGGGATTCACACTAATAAAACCGAAATGGCTGTTCAGGTTGTATTTTCACAAGAGGAGGAAAATATAGAAAATATGACCAACAAAAAATTTATCATGGTTTTGAAGCACCTAAAAACAAGCTTCAGGTGCCACTTGTGTTCCCCAGTTGTCATCAAAATGAAATTCCCGAAGGAAGAAAGGTTTGTTGCATTAGATTGGCTGGAATAAAGGTGTGTATGTACTTTATCAGTACTTGTTTATTTAAATAAAGCAAATTCCATTTACTGCGAGGCTCCACTGTAACCTCTGGTGATGCAAACCACTGATGGAGATCTTGGACTCTCATTTTCCCACTAAGTGTTTTGAAACAATGATCACTGCCAGTTAAAAATATATGTAGTTCCCAAAACAGAGCCTCCAGAAAGCAGTATTTCCAGTATGATGCCCAGCTTAAGGCAATTAGTTTTGAGAGAGAGAGAGAGAGAGAGTGTGTGCGTATGTGTGTGTGTGTGTGTGTGTGT